ATACAACTCGAGCGAAAACTTTTTTGATTCAAAAACATAGTAAAACTGTTCAAAAACATGACACATATATTAGTTTTTATGAAAAAATTGAAATAACATACAAATGTAGTACTCACCGTCAGCAAGTACGCCAAAATTGAATTTATTTCGCGTGCTCATTTTTCAAACACCTACAAAAAAATATGGCGGCACCGAATGAATAAAAATCGAAATGAGCGGTAGCGCAATCTATCGTAGAACGAATAAATCACTAACATATCAACATTAACGAGTTAGTGCAGCTTATTGCCGCGCATTTACCAAATGACGTTGTATGTCCCCATATGGGGACATTTGGTCTGAGGAGGTTAAAGCAAAAACGACTTCAATGTAGCTTCTATGGCGCCATTAAGATTGTGATGCACAAACAAGACTTATCGTTTCTTTCACACTCCTTGTTTTTGAATGCCTGTTAACGATTTTATTTTTCAACAAATTTTAATTCTGTTTACACATCTGACCACCAACTTGCGTCTGTTTAGGCTAATGACAAAGCGCAAATAATTTTTTACACTTTTACAATGTTGTGCGTGTAGCGGATCATTTGGACAACCAACAACATCTTTTTTTTTACTGTTTGAGATTTATTTCATTAGCGGGTTTTACACAGGCACTCTGTCGCGCATAATACAGCAATCGTGCGCGAAAGAACGATACTTTAAAAAATTTCAAACAAGTAATCGCGCGCGATTGCGCATGCAGTCTTTCCCGCGCGCAATCCTGTACGCTCCTGATCACGCGCGATGGAGTGACTGTGTAAAGGCGGCTATTGATGACTTTCACTGGATGTATCATTTCTGTACCGCCTCAACGACAATAAAGCATGCGTGTACAGTAATTATGTAAGCATTTAACAACATAAAGTTTAAACATTATACCGTATTCAAACACAAAATTGCTCTTTGTAAGTCAAGTTGTTAAAGCACGATTTAGGAACAAGCTCGTCGAAACAGCAATTGAAGCGGTACAATACAGAGTGGAGTAATTGGTCTCACCATTTAGCGCGAAATTAAACATTCAGGAGTAAAAAAGCTCGCGTGACATAGGATAGGTATGCTCGTAGTTTTTCGCATAGCCGGGACTTGCTGCGCCTGCATGAGCCTTTTACACGCGACGCTTACATGTTTTCGCAATGAATATTTTTGTTCAACTAACGTTTTAGGAATAAAAGACTGGCTTATAGAATAATTTAATCGTTTTGCTAAAGCCATGCGTAAGGTCGTCCACACTCGGCTTCATTTCCTAAAACTTGCGGTAACTTTTATTACCATCTATAAGACATAGTTATTTTTAACCAAAAAGTGATGAATATCGAGTTCTTAGGTTTTAGCGATTGTTACAAACAAATATACGCGATTTAAATCCGGAAAAATAGTTTCATTTCCTAAATGTGATGAATATTAAAATCTTTGAAATTTTCATTAATTTTAATTATTTTTTTTTTATAATATCAAGTGACGGGACGAACAAGTCGTGCGCCTCTTGGTATGCTACACGCCTGTCCATAACAGTTGCAGTGCCACTCAGAGCTTGAAATCCCAAAGAGCTGCCACTGCCGTCACCTGGAGACATAAGTTTGACAAGTCCCATGTATCTGTAATTTCACCAGCACCCTTACTGCTTTGCGGTAGAAACAGGTAAGGTAGCAGTACTTCCCTGAACGAACTCTTTCACAAGGAGCTCCACTGCTACTAAAAGTTTAGTGTAGAATAACTACATACTTTACCTATATTCTCTAAAACATAGAATGTTCTCCACAATACTACATTCAATGCTAGGAGTCACGCAAGAGTAATTGTATTCTTCATGGTAAAACACCATTTACTTACGAGTGTATCATTTATATTTAGAATTTACATACGCTATCTAGACCACCCTCATTGTTTGTATACATACAAGCAGATCAAATAGCATATAAAGTAATATGAACTCTTTGGAACCGTCGCTCATTAAATTTCAAAAGAAAATACTCGATTATAGAACCGCTATTTAAAAAGCAAAAAGTACCTTCACATAGTAAAATTTTCAATTAATGAATATTTTAAAGCATATTAAAGTTTAATAAAAATTTGTTTTACACCCTATTTTGTCTTGAAACATGACGAAAAAACCTCATGTTTAATTCGAACCTTTTCGCACATCTTCGGCAAACGTTCTTTGTGAATGTTCTTTTAAAAAACCATCACCAATTCATATACGTCTCTTTGCAGTCTGTTTCCTTCGCCATTGAAGCACGTGATGACAAAAAATATCTAAACTTCATTCCACGTGTTTATTCGGTAAATAATGATTCACGTATCTTCTAATCAATTAAAATTCTAAGCCATAGCCATTCATAATTGTGGGAAACTTAAACAAACGCTAGTCTGATTTATTTTTGCCATCGAATGTCGTATTCTAAGAAAACAAGCAAACAATGGTCTGCGTCATATCTCGTGACCTATAGCCATTCGGCTAACAGGCTGTCAGAGGCGGTGTGAAGGGCTTTTACCCTTACCCCCATCCTCAGGTTCGCGTGCTATCCACCTCGTTAATATGTATGCAGTGCGTCGCCCCCAGACCAACCCACCTACTAGTTGCTAACCGGACGCTAGAAATATACCACATACTCTATACGTTGGTAATAGATATTTTACGTTCGCGAGTGCTTCGTGTATCGCAGTAATGGAGACGTTACCGGTGGTTTTATATACGTCCAGTATAGTTAATGCTGTATTCACACTCGCCGTTTTGTTTTTGTTAGCAATTGTCAGTTCAGCAATGGATGGCCAAATCAGTTGTACGAATTCAACTTCAATTTTATGAAATTGGGTCAAGGGAATAATGACTTACAGAAGTCAGTCACATCCATCCATCCATCATTTCAAGATTTGAAAGTCGCCAATGATCACATCAAATAGTGTAATGATAAATTAGTAAAAGCTCAATTTCAACAATTAACGTATTATAGTTCGTTTCAATCCATTTTGCATAAAAGATAACCTATATAACATGTTTCAAATACGATTTCAAGATGTAATTCAAATGAAAGAGTGATAAGGTGAAGTTGAAACCTTCGAATATATATGTGTTAGTTATTCCACTTATTGACTGTTTGTTTACTTCTCATGAAAAATGGATTGACACGAACTAGAATAGTTTGTAATAATAAATTCAGCCATTACAAACTAGTGCAGTGGTACAATTTGGAAGTTGTAAAAAGAGATGTAAAAGAAACAGATTTGGTCGTGTTTGTAAAAAACTAAGACAACAAACAAAGATTACCTTTTCAATTTTAAAAAGAAAATTAAGTGAAGTTATATTAAGAAAACTCCGTGGGCGAAAAGAAATAGGCGAGGTCACAGTTTTTGAGTGAAAGTTCTGGGTTATCAAATACGTAAATATGACATCATTAGATGAATAGCAACCGGGAATATTGACGTGGAAAAGACAAGGGCCTTGTTGTATTGTCTATTGCTTTATGTGTTAGAAAGTTTTACTGACCTCTTTTACGTTTCATAGAAAACGGTCAAGTATAAGCTGATCATAGTATCGTCAAATACAGTTCCTCCTTTTACGACTTCGGTGCCCCATTGGCTAATAACCTAGAGTCCTAGGCTCAACTCCCAGTAGTATCGATTTAGAAAAGGCTCATCCGGCAAACCGCTCGTGGCAAAACATGGTGGCATTAATATTCTGTTGCGACTCAGTGTTACCGTTTAAGACATGTTTCTTGTAACTATACTGCTGTAGTGTAGTCAGCATGTCATGGGTCCTGTTGAAAACCATAAATATATATAAAAGATGGCTAAAGCATAGTTCAGGAACGCACATTTTGAAAATTGGTAAAGTACTTGTGTTAAATTTAATTATACATAATATCAGTACAGAATATTAAAAAAAACGGACGTCAAAAATTCGTGGAATTACATCTATTAGCCAAGTTTTATTGGAATCGGTTACCGGAAAGTGCACGAAAGCGGATTCATCGCCTAGTTACCCTTACAAATGGAATATTTTTGTCATCAATTTAAGTGGGACCAATACTGAGGTTACTCTCTTTCCAACAAAAAAAATAATCATCAAAATCGGTTCACAAAGTTATCGCGTTACAAAAAAATGCAGTTAAATTGAGAACCTCCTCCTTTTTTGCAGACGGTTATTAACGATGACAATAAGTCTTTACTGATGATTAATCATTAATTTATTATTTATTTTAGATTATAGATGTTAAATTTTATATTTTATAAATAATAAATAATTATATTTTGTTGTTAATTGTCGGTGGTATCCACTCCGTACCTCGGTCGCCACAGAATAGCAGTGTTGGGCTGTTTTGCTTGCAAAACACAACGAATACTGAGTGGAGACCATTTTAGATCTTAATGTTTTATAGTATATAAGAAAAATTTTACATTAGTCATGACAAAATGAGACCATAGGAAATGAAACTATTTTTCCGGATTTAAATCGCGTATATTTGTTTTTTCAAACAAAATTTTTCAAAAATAGTTTCATTTCCTATGTGTAACAATCGCGAAAACCTAAGAACTCGATATAAAATGAGACCATATAAATAATAATTTCTTTCTTTCGTCCTAAAAGCATTCTACATATATTCTTATTTGCGATTACAAAAGCAATAGAGCCACGCTAAATGGACAATGATTTGCAAAATGTGTGCAAGCTGTCACGTCCACCTTTTCTAAATAGGCACGCTACAATAGCTGACAAAAAATGTTTTTGTTTGCTATCAGAGCATGACTAAAATATGAACTTCAGGTGGTCGCTGTACAGGAAGCAGTAGTGCAATAAACTACAGGCGATGTATATTTACAACAACTTTACGTATGTAAATTTACAAAATCCCAGAAAAAAATGCCATGTTGTAAATGATGTATCGTTTATTTTTCATGTCCTGTTACGTTTCTAGTTATTATTAAAGCACTTTTGGTAAATTATATTTTTCTGTCTATTTCTAGTTTCTTGGACGACCTCGACCGGTTAGGCGCGAGAGATTACCAGCCCACCGAACAGGATATTCTAAGAACAAGGGTCAAAACTACCGGCATAGTCGAAGTTCACTTCTCTTTCAAAAACCTTAATTTCAAGTAAGTATCCTCCACTGATTCTCGATTTCAGATGAACAAAGTTTGGTGGCTAGAATTCAGTGTGTTGAACATAATAAAACAGTGCAGAGTACTAAAACAACCGACCTCAAAAGTCATTCATCCCCTATTTTGCCGCCCTTAGAGGTGGAATATTTTCTTCAAATTTAAATTGGACCACATCGGTGGTACCCCCTTTCCAACAAAAAAAAAATCATCAAAATCGGTCCACAAATGCCATAACTGGAACATCATCATCATCGCCTAACATACATACAAAATAAATACATACAGTCGAATTGAGAACCTCCTCCTTTTTTTGAAGTCGGTTAAAAATGGCGGACTCAGTGTAACAGTTAATTTCGATCCACTGATATTTATCACCACTTTACCTGGTTTTACTCTACGTAATAATATGACTAAATTCTAAGGAAATGGTGAACCTTAAATACTTAATTATTTTCTTTACTTTAAATCGAAAGTTACAATATTTGATATTTAAAATATAACCTTATGTTCTTAGGTGTCTAATTCCCTTTGTCGTGGAAAAGAAACTGTTATTCCTGTAGTACTAATGCGGATTTTGATGTGCAAATTGCAGATTGTTCGACGTGGGCGGCCAGAGGTCGGAGAGAAAGAAATGGATCCATTGCTTCGAGGACGTGACGGCGATCATCTTTTGCGTCGCTATGTCCGAGTACGACCAAGTGTTGCACGAAGACGAGACAACGGTATGATGTTCCAGATTGTCTTAATTTGTATTAGACCATTACAAGAACGAGAGCCACATTGGATCCTCGGTATTAGGACCTTCATTTCGTTGAGTTTTTTAACATCAATGCAAACTAGGATGATGATTTCATTTGACGTTAGTCATAGAGATGGGGTAAAGTCGATAGATTTATAGTGTATTTGATTTTTGATGCAAAACTTCTCTCTCATCGTTTTGTTGTATATATGTGTGAAGTCTTTTGTATTATATTGAAGACATAAAACACACAACAGTAATTCAAATGCAATTTCAATAGATATATAAGAAAATTTTAAAAAACATTTATCATGTCATTTAGCTTACAGGTTTCAAATAAGTAATAACACTGACATGCCTATGATTAAAATTCATATTTTAAGAATGAATAGGTATTCATTCTTAAATTACGCTATAAATTTATACATTAAATTATCTAAAATGCAGTGTTATGAAGTAACCTTTGCACGTAATTAGAGAATAAGAAATACGTAATCGTAAAAATTAATGAGAAAAAAAAGCTTTTCCGCTCATTTCTCACAAATAAGCTTTGTTTTGGTGTTATTTTAATTTAATGTATTTACTTAAAATAGTTCATGAAATACGTAATAATTTACGTAGTAATTTACGTAATACACGTAGTTACAAGGTCATAGTGTGTATTTTTCGTTCATATTGTGGATTAGCCTAGATTATTTTTAGTATAAAATATATATTTACTTTAGGGGACAATTAATTTCCTCCGCTCTGTCCATCACGCGTCTCTTGCACAAATGGTTACTAGTGTTACAAGATTCTGCACCCTCTCAATTCGTACTAAAAAGATATCATGTTAAACTTCCAGAACCGCATGCAAGAGAGCTTGAAGCTGTTCGACTCGATTTGCAACAACAAGTGGTTCACCGACACCAGCATCATCCTCTTCCTCAACAAGAAGGACTTGTTCGAGGAGAAAATCCGCAAGTCGCCGCTCACCATCTGCTTCCCTGAATACACTGGTGCGTATTATTTCTGGTTTAAACCAGTTTTCTGTTTTTAGATTTCATAATGGATTGATGGAAAAAATTCATTAATGTTTCCCTGCGAAAAATGGCCAGCTCATTCTTGTATTCAATGAGACAACCTGTGTCTCGGAGATTTTGTAAAGCCGCCAATTTAACTAACGCAAAACTGGTCCATTTAATGGTGCTTGCTATTGTGCCACCTGAGTGAAACTCTTGGCGACACAACGAATCCCTTTGTAATTAAGGTGTACTAGTTTGTCTCCTGCATAGAAAAATGTCTACTCAATATTTTGAATAGCAGTAGAGTTCGCTGTGAAAGAATACATCCAGGGAAGTACCTTACATATTTCTACCGCCAAGCATTACTGCGTTCCGGTTTGAAGGGTAAGGGTGCTGGAGAAAAACCGGGCACATGGTACTTGTCAACTTATGCCATACGATGCTCGATTGTATATGATTTCGATATTCGATTCGTTAGTAATTACCAATCCTGTCATTCGAATAACGAATTAGTAATCAACAATTGTCGTATTCGAACGATCCGAATGATCCTAAAAATCCTAAAAAATACTAATTAGTATTATTAATCCATAGATTCCATAGAGCATTTCTGCTCGTGATCACCTGACCCTCTCTGACATATGGTAAATATCGTAATTGTGACGGGGACAGGGATATTTTGATATGGACATGGTGTTTAAGATATACTTAAACATATAATTGAAATAAATAAATAAATAGTAATAGAATAATTTAGTAGAATTAATGGATTAAGAATATGGCAATGTTCCATTTTTATTTTGGTCAGGCAACACTGTTTTTTCTCTCTCTTCTCGAAAACTCCCTTGTAACGACAGGTCTAAATTTAAACTATATTTTAAATATAGTCAATTGTAAATTCAACTTGCATTTTATTTGTACAAATAGTGAATGATCTGGTGGAATTCCGAGTAGTTCTAACATAATATCATTCGACTCGTGCGCGCAACCGAATGGCAGGGATGTTAAGTAGCATTAGTAACATTCAAAGTCGCGCATCGCTAGGGTGCAGTGCCAGTGCACGTGATATCTTTGCAATTTAAAGCTTGGAGTGGCACTGCACCTCGCTTACCACCAGACGCACGACTCGGTCGTTCTGTCACTTGGTATCGTAAAAAAAAATATTTCTCCCGTTTCAGGTGCGCAAGAATACGGCGAAGCGGCAGCGTACATCCAAGCTCAGTTCGAAGCCAAGAACAAATCCACCACCAAGGAGATCTACTGCCACATGACGTGCGCCACCGACACCAACAACATCCAGTTCGTGTTCGACGCCGTGACCGACGTGATCATCGCCAACAACCTGCGCGGCTGCGGCCTCTACTAGGCGTCTGTCTGCGCTGTCCCCCCTCGCCTCGCCTCGCCCGGACAGCATATCAGTGACGTCATCGGGCGGCCTCGGCGCAGCGACGGCCACGGCCACTCGCAGCTACGCGTTCTATATTATATATTTTTATGGGAAGTAAGCTTACCGGATGTACCGCCGATGTGCAGTATCGTGTGTCACATGGCTTGGAGCATTGTGTCTGTTTTACGTTCGCTCGGGCCGCCGTCGCGACTAGACCGCGGAGTAGTTTCCCCTGTAAAATAAACCGAGTCGTCCTCAGTTGGCGGCGCGGCATTCCGACTCGACGTGGCGCCGCCCTCCGTTAGCTCAATCCTCTTTGATGAACAATTAGGTGTCTAGTGTTCAATTCTAAATTTTGGTGCTAGTATAGCGTTTGGTTTGTGCAGTGAGCACTGAGCATTTGCGGTCTAGTTGCGGCACAGGCGGAGCTCTGGAAACAAACGTGCTTATATACTCACTCTCTTACGGACCAAAAACCAGAAAGGAACCAATATTTAGTACTGAACTCGGTAGTGAGATGCATGAATACTTTCACAGGCCTATTTTAACTGATACAAAACATCATTCCATTATTAAGTATTTGCTTACGATGAGAAATTATTTTTGTAAACTTTTGAATGCACAAACTGTGACCACTAAGGAAGATGAGTTTATTTTACGTACCTTGAGTCTTTTAAGCTAAGTCCTGTGTCATTCTGAGAGTGCTGCAATTTGATTATTAGTTAGGCGTTTGTATGCGCACAAACTATTTATTTCTGTTATGCCATATACGATTCGAAATATTCTTTTTGTGTTAATATTTTTTCTATATCACTTTACAGTAAACCTTAAGGTGTTAGCGATTTAAGATCTACTCTTGTATTCAATTATAAAGATCATGTTAGGTATTTATTTTATCTAGCGTATTTGTATTAAAGGTGGTATATGTATACTTGTCATGTTTAATTTTACGTTTAAGTGATTAACCAACTTTACAAGTAAGTATGTTGATTTCGTGAGGCGCGCGGAGCGTGAACGGAGAGGCCGCCGCGGCGCAAGTGGCGACGCACCTCCACTAGCCTTCTGTTCGCAGCATTTGTAAGATATGTGAGTATATAAACTTTGTATACACTCGCGAATTGGCGTAATCAAACCTTATACATATATATACTATATAACATAATTTATTATTAATAATAAAATAAAAAAATCTTACTTTTAAGCATTAGGGCAGTAACTGTATCAATAAACATTAATTATTAATGCAATTAGACAGTAACCTTTACTATTGTCATAGTTAGGTGATTTGTTTTCATTTTACGTTTATGGAGTATGTAAAAAGTGATTATATGAAAATGTAACGCCTACACTGTGACCGCGCGGGCCATTCTCCCGCGAAGCCACAGCCGCCTGCGGCTGCAGAACCAAAGATTTGTTATATTCAATACTCTAATGACTCGACTTTCGAAATTAAATGTAAGAAAGCTCAGCGGTGATGTGCATTTGTAGGTGATGTGCTCCTGCTTTGTTTTCTCTAGATCAGTGTCAGTCGGATGAATGTTAATCCCGTTTGGTTGTTGCGTAGGAGTGGCCCGCGGCAAGAGCGCCCGCCGCTCGCTTGTTACTAGGTAGGTTTTTTACTGTTAACAATATGTGTACGTAAACTAATAAAAAATAATATTAGCGCAGTTCTACATTCAGCCCAGAACCTACATTTAAGTAAGCTTCACATTACATTTAAAGTTTTTTAAAGTATAAACTGGGTGCGCGTGTTTCGAAATCGATTTGTAATCGCACCTCTGTGGTGGGCTTAGGGATAGTTCCGTTTCATAAGTGACGGAGATGCACCAATGCGTCTGTTTGTAGAACACGACAATTTGTGCAACGCACAATATTTGCCCCATTTTTATTGAGACTACATTCTATGAAACGGAACGGTGTGTTGGTGCGACGCGGGTGAGTCAGCGGCGGGCAGCGGCCATGGGTAGTACCATCAACACAACGCAGCTTTGAGCGTCGCGCAGACAACGGCTGCCTCGCCACTCCTCGACGCTTCTCGCACACACTCGAATGTCGTAGCGTACGAAATTGTCAGTTTCGCATTTTAATGTGTTCCTCCGCCGCTAAACATTAACTTGTATGCTTTAATATTTCGAGTGAATGTGATGTAAATTTTGTACACTGCCGCATTGTTTATTCGCTCGAATCACATTTAGTTTATAAGATTTGGGACAGTGACCGAAACGCACAGGCCACACGCGACATTGTTTGGAACATAACGTGCGCACAATCAACAAACTCGTCTCGACGCTCAATCGGACCTTCAGCCAAACGTTACGTATGTACGCCTCGTGGTATGTGCGTAAGCTTCTTATTTGAAGACTGAAATGTTGCCGCTCAAATATTCTCGCGCTTTATTAGATCCACGACGGGGAGGATAATGCAGTTTTTTTTAAAAGATAGCGTTTAGTGGTTGGGTCAAACTAGATGTCTTAAGAAAGCATTAACGATGTGACATAAGGTAATTCGAAGACTACGCGGATCAAGAAATATGCGAATTGAGCGACATTCAGTTGTAATTTTTAATATTAAACGCTGAAACTTTGTCACAATGTTGTCGATTTAACAATATCACCATGCTTCATTCATATTTGCCAAAGTTAATACTAACCTCACTATTTATATACCTACTGTATGTTCTTTGATGACTAAATTATGTGTGAATTCGCGGGAAGGGCGAAGGCGCGGCGCACGCATCGCGGCCCCGGTGGCGAATTAGTCTTATTGGTACTGATCAGAGTACAATGTTGAAGTTATCTTATTTAGAATTGATGACATGTAACATTTATTTCTAGCGCGTGCAGGGACCGCTCGGTAAGACCAGGCCGCGCGCCGCGCCCCAGCCCGCCCCGGACCGATCGGTCGCCGAGCGGTCCCCTATTGAACAAACGTTTAAGAAAGTAAAATTTTTAGTCACTAGTGGGTAATTTTTGAATGTGATTCAATCTTATCTTTATTTTTCTATATCAAGTGACTTTTTAACTTTTATTTCCTTATGTTCCAACTTGTGTTTTGTATTGCATTTATTGAGAGCGATATATTTAACCAACGATTTAATTAAACAATATTTTCTCTTTTTTGTATCTCGTCTGCACTGGTATTTTTTATTGAATTTACTATAAATGTACTTTTAAGTGTATAATTTAAATAATTACTGAAAATGATTATATTCTTATTTTTATGTTCAAATAATCATGTGGGTTTTATTTATTATACCCCTAAAGTGTCCCTTCCCTAAGAAACAAAAAAAATATAGACACAAAATTAAGCTTACTAATAATTTACTTATATTGTATAATTTATAATTTTCACAGAAAAAAATCATCACAAGCCTGTAACAACTGGTCCCTGACTACCATCAGCAGCACAAAATCTAGGTTAATTAAAAAAAGTAACATAGACACTTATTTTACGTAATGTAGGTATAGTTGATGTTTCACTCTGCATACTAGGTACAGAAAGTGAATTTGTACAGCTGAAGACTGCCCCCCTAACGAAAAAAGGCACAACTATGCGTACACTGCACAGCAGTTGTGCCTTTTTTTCCTTCTGAGGGCAGAATACTAAAAATCAGCAATGTCGTTATGTCCATATCAGTTATTTTAATGTTATACTAGTCTGCCCACAGACCACATAAATACTAGTAATAGACTGGTTAGTGAGCGGGGTCCGCGTTACCTAGCTTATCACCAGACAAGTGTCAACAGCGCGTCAGTCGTTCAAATGTGATACTTGATTATTTTGTGGAAATAATAGAAATACTGTGCCATTATATCATGTCGCATAAGAAGCCAAAGTTTAAAAATTCTCCGGGAGTGATTTCATTTCATCGGTAAGTACTAAAACTCTGTATTTTCTAATATTTTGAACAATACAATCTTAAATACAATATTATAATTTCGAAACAAAACTATTTTCTTGCAACTCGGTAATAACAACATACATTGGTTGCTAGCCATCGTCGCCGTCAAAAGAACAATTCGAATGACGCTCAATATGAATTGCTTGCACTAGTGTCGTATAATTACACTTGGTATTGGGTCCGCGTGATGTAATCAAATTATCGATATGTAGAAACTATTTAGAAACCCGGTTTTGGTTTAGTTCAACATTTTTTTATAGCGGTAGGTACCAATGTGTAAATATAAATTGTTTACAGGTATTTAAAAGCTAACAATTTTGATTACTGAAATGTGTGGTAATAGTTTTTTTAAAATTTAAGTAAAAACGATATATTAATGGAAAAAAAGGAAATATAGGTAGAAGAGGTACAGTGTCGATAATTTTACAATGCACGTAAGTTCGTGGAGTATCAAATGAAGACTTTATAAGATTGAAGATTTTCTTTCCCTTATCGACATGATTCCTATCTCCCTACTTGCTTATTATACGTTACCTTAGTCTGCTTGAGTTCTTAGTTTTATCACAGGCATGATTTACATTTGCAGTTTTTGTATTGATTTTTTTAGTTTCCCGCCGGATCCTTTTTAAAGGAGAAATGGGCTGAAGCAACAGGCAGCAAAAGCTGGGTACCTACTAAATGTAGCACCATTTGCTATAGGCATTTCGTGACATCACATTAAATTATATACATATGAATGTATATAATTTAATGTCATATAACAACCGAAAAATTCATTAAGAAATAAATTATATGGTTAATATGACATGAAACTCAGAGTCCCATTCACAAATTATAGACCACATCTAAATGTCAAAACATTTCATTTCAGTTTTCATTTCATTTCATTGTCAGTTATTTTTAGTCAAGTTTTCATGAAACAAATGATTCGCTTCTTCGCCTTCGGAAATAAGTATCTTCATTTTCTTGACAAGCTCGTCGACGCTATAGGTGTAGTCGTGTTCAGCAAGGTAAGAAAGAGGTAATTGTTGAACAAATATATCATATTTCAGAGAGAATAAAAATTTTTATGATGACTGTTTTAATATTTCAACCCTTCCAGTGATCGGATTGACTTGAAATCTAGTAGGTTAATAAAAGTACGACGACAGTATAATAATTCATCTACGCTAGATCTCGAAGAAAGTAATAATTTTAAATGCCGTTTCCATATACTCCGTGGTTAACTCTAATTATAGCAAGTATAAAGCAATGCCTAGTTCAATATTCCGCAAGTTATGAAACTTAATGTCGATATCAATTAAATGTCACGTCCCTATCTGTAGATTGTCAACTTTTCGCCTTTGTTCTAAGAAGTTTATGCCCATAGGATTCTAGCTTTTATGTGACTAGTAATAATAAAACCTTATTAGATCCAAATAAGTTTCAATTTTTTTTACCAAGTTTTTTATTATTGTCTATTTTCGTTTGATCTGATTTGATATAACCAATTCTAGAACTCTACTCAATGCTCAAGTCAGGTCTTGAGTATGATTCAAAGCACTAGAAATCATACTCAAGTCTTTGCCATTAGGGTCGTATTACCAGTGCTTGAAATCATACTCAAGTCTGCTCAAATCCTGACTTGAGCATTGAGTAGAGTTCTGGAATAACGACCCTTAATACTAACGTAAGATTACGTTTTCAAATGTG